GTGGACACTCCTGCCACAGCTTTCAACAAAGCCATCTTTAAAAGGCACAGACACCCAGAATTAGTATTCTGGCAGCAAGCCAGCTCCAGCCAGGACCCTGACTGCGTAGCTTTTTCTAGTTGGGCCACTCGGAGCCATGTCCCAGGGACAAGCCCCCCAAGACCTCCCTTCCAGGAACACATCCCCGCAGGAAGCCAGAGGCACAAAATGCCGGGCACCCTCCTGGTCTGGGCCCGAGATAAAAGGCCTCTTGGAGCTCTGGTCTGAGGAGGAGGCTCTTCAGGCCCTGCAGTCCAGGCAGAGGAACGCAGACATCTACAGCAGAATGGCTGATGGCCTGGCAAGGAAAGGCCACCACCCGCACACCATAACCCTGGTCAGAGCCAACATCAAAGAGCTGCGGCAGGGGTACATCAGGGCCCGGGAGCACAGCTCCCAGTCCAACACACCCAGGGCAGGGGAGGCGGGAGCAAATTGGATGGTGCGGTACTGTGACGTGTCATGCTGATCACAGCCAGGGGGGCCCCACACATGGCCAACTGCAGGGACGGCCATCCTACCCCTGCACCCGCATGGCTGTGAGGCACCACCTGCTCCTACAAGCAGTGATGCCAGGTGTAGGCATGGGTTGGGGATGCTGGGATTGCCACACAGCTTCAGGCCTCTCATCAACCTGTGGGAACCCCAACTGTGGCCTGACACATGTCTGTGCTGCTTGGCCATGGTGTGTGTGTGTGGGGGGGGGATGCAGGGGGCAGGATTGTGGCCTGCACACCTTCTGGGCTCCAGGGAGGCCGTGGCTTCTGGCCAGGCCACACCATGCCTTACTGAGACACACATGAACATCCTCTGACCCTAGGACAGGCACTAACTGCTGAGAAGAAGGAGGGCATGCCCTCTCAGGAGAAGTGTGGGCATGCATGACTGACGACTTTTCCCTCTTGTCCTCCACAGCCAGACCAGCTGACCAGCAGGGGAGCACCACACCTGCCCCAACACGCAGATGGCTGGAGGGAATCCATCAGCACTGGCACACGTATGTGGACCTGGTGCGCCAGCACATTTCAGTCCTGCAAGGGATGCAGGATGCAATGAACCGGAGGATGAAGGCAGAGGCAGAGCGACGCAGGCGTTTGCTGGATGAGTTTGTCCAGCAGCGCACTGAGATTTGTACTGCTATCCGGGAGGCCATGGCCTTCCCTGGGCCTGAGCCTGGTCCTGCTCCTCCTGCTCAGCCTGCCCCCCCTCAGTCCCTGCCTCCCCTCAGCCCCTGCCATCCCAGACACCGATACAGCCCCACCTCCTGCCTAGCCCCCTATTGTCCCAGCCTGCATGCACAGCTGTCTGCGAGAAGGCCTCCACAGCCAAAGTGCCAGGGGCTCTTCATCAAGGCAGCACTCTCAGCCCTGAACCTCCCCCCCCCACCTTCCAAGCTGACATTCCCCCTTCCCACCTGTGAGAGTCACTGAAGTGAAGCACTTTGTTTACAAATACTTTATTTTTCTGAACAAAAGAGTCTTTTATTTTTTCAAAAAACCAACAGTGAAATAAACTGTTTTTTCACTAACACCTGTCTCTGTTGTCAGTGTGTGATGAATGTGTACAATGTGTGACTGTGGGGCTGGGAGGGGCTTTGGGAAGGAAGGCACTGAGGGCATGGCACAATCCCACAACTAGAAAGCCCTAGGGAAAATCATCGGGCTCCTTGGGATAATTGCTCCCTCAGGGCTTCTCAAATGCACACTCCCAGCTGGTGGGCTTGTCAGATGGCAGCTGTCTGGGGTTGCTCAAAGTGCCTCCCTCCACATCAGCCTGTGTCCCCCACACAAGGAGGAAGGCCACCCCTTTCCTCTCCACTAGGTTGTGCAGCACATGGCATGCAGCAACCACATCGGGGATGTTGTGTTCCCTCATGTCCAGCCGAATGAGCAGGCATCTAAATCTGCCCTTCTGATAGCCAAAGGCACACTCCACCTGGAAGCAAGCCCGATTCAGGTGGGAGTTAAAGAGTTCCCTGCTCGCAGGAATGTTCAGTGAATGGCTTCAGAGCCAGGGCATAAGGGGATACGCAACGTTGGCCCCAATGCACGTAGGCATCTGCACATCCCTGAGTGCATAGTTCCTCTCCAGAAATAATGTCCCAGCCTGCAGCCTGTGGTATAGGTATGCGTTCCGGAATATGCGGGCATCGCATGCCCGGCCTGACCACCCGACACAAATGTTTGTGAATTATCCCCGGTGGTCGACTAGGGCCTGCAGCGCCATCAAAAAGTATCCCCTTCTATTAATATACTGTGCTGCTCGATGGGGTGGTGCGCAGATCGGGATGCGAGTCCAGTCAAGTGCTCCACTGCAGTTCAGAAAACCCAGTCCTGCAAATCCAGCCAAGTTGGTATCCAGGTCTCCGAGTGAGCAGGCATCTAAATCTGCTCTTCAGACGGCCAAAGGCCCGCTCCACCTGGAAGCGAGCCTGATTCAGGCGGGAGTTAAAGAGTTCTGTGCTCGCATCCAGGTGTTCTGTGAATGGCTTCATGAGCCAGGGCATAAGGGGGTAGGCCGCGTCGGCCACAATGCACATAGGCATCTGCACATCCCCAACTGCATAGTTTCTCTCCAGAAAAAATGCCCCAGCTTGCAGCCTGTGGTACAGGTATGAGTTCCGGAATATGCGGGCATCATGTGCCCAGCCTGACCATCCAACACAAATGTCTGTGAATTGTCCCTGATGGTCAACCAGGGCCTGCAGCACCATAGGGTGAGGCCAGGCAGGCTTCTACCACTCCCACCCCATCCCCCATTCCCTGTGCCTGGTCCTGACCATCCCCCTTATCTGCCCGCCACCATCCCCATGGACTGTCCACCAAGAGTGAATTACCTCCATCAAGACGGCCCCGACAGTAGACCTCCCCACACCAAACTGATGTCCCACAGAGTGGTAGTTGTCGGGAGGGGTGGCCAGCTTCCATAGAGCAATAGCGACGTGCTTCTGCAGGGGGATGGCGGGCCGCAAGTGGGTGTTCTGGCATTGCAAGGCAGGGGCGAGCCAAGCACAGAACTCCTGGAAGGTGGTCTTCCGCATCCGGAAGTTTCAGAGCCACTGGTAGTCGTCCCACCGCTCCATAACAAGCCAGTCCCACCAGTCCGAACTTGTGTCCAGCCTCCAAACTCGCCTTTCCAGGAATAAGTTGGGGGCAAGGGCAGTGGGGCTGCAGCCTGAATAAGGGGCTCAAAGCTGGGCTCTGAATCCAGCTCTGCCACAAACATCATGATGCTCTCATGCAGATGCAGCAGAACTTCCAGCATCACAATGTGGGGCCATCACCTGCCCAAGGGCAGCTCAGGCTCCATGGCCAAAAACACAGTGCAAAGCACAATACCAAACCTGAAAATAAACTACTGTGGTATCCAAGGAAGCAGGGCAACCAGAGCAAAACTTCAGCAGCTTTGTTTTCCCTCTAGGAGGTAGGCAAGCCAGAAGCAGGAGCAGAGCAACAGCTGTCAAGGAGAATCCCTTTAAGCATACGTCTCTGCAAAGACCATGCAGCAGTGCCTGGAATTTAAGGCTGCCCTGTGACCTTCCAGAAGCACTTCCGGGTGCCTTTTTTTGTCGACAGAGCATCTCGCAGCCTGGATGCTCTTTTT